TCTCCCTCCAGCTATGTATTTCCCAAGCCCGGGACAGAAAAGTATCATTTCTTCTGCACATTCTCTGGGTGTGTGTGCATATTTGTGCCTACCGATGCCATTCTGCTCTCCGCAGATCTATTGAGTTCAGCTCTTTTGTTCCTTGACTTCCTTTGAGCGCTCTGCCTTTTCGCATCCTTTGTGTCTCGGATGAAAAGGGGGCAGATTATTATGTGCCCCCTGGGGCGCTGCAGGGATTGAGGCACCAAGGTCTGCTACTATATCGTGAGGCACTTTAAACAGTACGCAGGTCAGAAGTGAAGTTGAGCCTGCTTTGGCTTTGAAAGAGGAAAGGAGCTTGAGGAGGGGGGGTGGTGAAGAGGAAGAGAGGAGCCCCGCTTCAGTTCTCCACTTCTGAAACGTTTCCCAGTGGCAACGTTTGACCTCCTTGCAAAAGGCGTCTGCACCTCTGCTATGTGACCTTTACAGCAGTCGTATCAAACACGAGACCCAGCTGCGCCAAAGCTGCTCTGATTTTGCACTGCCCATAAATCCATCCCTTGTGGACAAGTCATCCGCAGACGCCTAATGAAAGATGTATGGGGTTGAATTCTTTATAAATATCTCATGTTTATTTCAAACGCTTTCGGAAAACGTAGCTGTTCACACAGTGTCTCGGTGCGCAAACATACGCCGACTTGGCAAATGCAAACTGACATCAGCCTGACTGACAGGGGCGGACGCAGGGACACGGGGTGGCGCCGTGGTCAGCATTGCTACCTTGCAGTGCCGGGGCCCTGGGTTCAATTCCTGGGGCCCCCAGCTATGTGGAGCTTGTGTGACCTACTGACGTTCACATGGGTTCTCTCTGGGTGGTGTGGTTTCTTTCCACAATCCAAGGACATACTGGTAGGTAAATTGGTTTCTGCAACAGACTGGCATCCCACCCAGGTGTACCCTGCCTTGTGCCTCTTGCTTGCCAGGAGAAGCTCCAGCTCCCCCCTGACCCTGAATTAGATATCAAGTGGTTACAAAATGGATGGATGGAAAAACAGGTCAACGCTACACTGAGAGAACCCAGCAGGGGAAAAAAAAAACTACCAAGCAATTAAGTGATGATGGATAACAGTGATTGTCCCATTCAAGGGAAGGTGGAAAATGACCACTCCTAAACTTCCCGGATGCCCAAAGCCAAGTGGACAGAAGCTTCACGCTGTGAAAATGAATATGGAGACCCAACCCTGACAATTGGCAGTAACCTCTGAAGAACATTCCCAGGCGCCTATCCACACTTTCAGGTACTGTCAAGTCAGTGTGGGGTATGAACAAAGAGAGACAGGACACCTATCCCTCCTCACTCCAAGGTCAGACGTTGACTGCAACCATGGCATGAGGAGATACCAGTGCATCAAAAGCCATTGTGAGCTGCTGGACTCTTTGTGGTTTACAATCTCGTGTGTCTTCAAGTTTTTGTTCCAGTCAAGTTCTTCATCAAAGGCTACTTGGTTTCACCTTTAGATTTGGGGGATGTTTTTAAATTTGCTGGCGGCTCAAAAAAGGTTGAATGGGTTTTGTAAATGCTATTAACCCTAGAGAAATTTCTGAGTTTCAGAACTTCCCTCGTTCCGTTGTGTAAGTTGAAACATAACCAATCGGCGTCTGCAGAAAAAGAAATCCCACTGTGTATGTGTGTGTGGGGGGTGTAAAACACAGCCATTCCTAGTCATTCCATGCCTGGCCAACATACACTAGTCACCTTTTAAGAGCTGTTTTGTTGAAAAAAAAGTGTGAAAACAGTTGTTGAGAAATTACCTATGAAGTTATTTATGTGTTGAAGTTGGAGAAACAGTTGAACTTCAATTTTCAATACAGTTGAAATATAGCATTTTTGAAACCAAGGACTAAAAGAAGAAATAAGTAAACAAAAGTCTAAACAAGCCAATAGATTAGTTTAAAGCACCAATTAGCACCAGTGATTATCAGCTCAGTTAGAATGAAAACACAGGAACAGTGTTAGGAACTACTGACCTCTCCCAAAGTCAAAATGTTCCAGGAGAAACTTCTGCTTGTCTACAGCAATGCACATCTGGCTCAAAATGTATGAGAAATATTCACGATGGAACCAGAGAAGTTCTTAGCTGTATCAATGCTAAAATGTGATCCGGTAGACATAATCAGATTATACAAATAATGCTTTCAGTATAATTGTCTGGACTACTATGGGAAAAATGATCAAAGTAATCATTAATTAGCTCATTTCAACTTGGGAGGACAGATGGACTATAAAAATCAGGAAATCCAGCTGTACCCCAGGGACTGCAAATGAGTAACTTAACTGAATTACTGTGGCATGTCACTAACATTTTGTAAAAATAAAGTTGATTGATAATTTTAAAATAATAACACAGTGATTGACCTGTACTGTTTCAGACATTTTTTTTATTTAAACTTCCTCATCTGTAGGAACGATTGTTAGTGAAAACAGTTCAGAATGATAAATGTTCTACTACCATAACCCCTGGGGCACTATTTGGAGGACCCTATTAATGAAGATTAATACAAACACAGCTCTAAACAATTCTGCACAAGGCAAGGATAATTTTTCATAGCACAGTTTATTCTCAGTTTAGCAGTGTCTGCAAAGCAAGGATTTTCAGCTCTCTGCCTGGGTGACTCCTTTACCAGAAATCTCGCTGCACCACAAACCCCAGTTGAAATCCCACATCATTTTCACACATTACAAGGCCATAGGGGAATGGGGAAACACTCCCTGCATAATGATTTCTTACACTCCAATCAAAGCACTTTACAGGTAATGGGGACACCCCTCCACCACCAGTGTGTAGCCCCCACCTGGAAGATGTGACAGCAGCCAAAGTGCTCCAGTCCTCTCCCCACACACCAGCTCTCAGTGGGGAGGAGAACAGAAGGATGAAGCCAGTTCAGAGAGGGGGATTATTAGGGGAAACTAGCCAGGACACCAAGGTGACACCCCTTCCCTTTATGAGAAATGCTCCAGGTGTTTTAATGACCATGGAAAGTCAGGACCTTGGTTTTTGGTCTTATCCTAAAGAAAGCACTTTTTTACAGTATAGTGTCCCTATCACTATACTGGGGCATTAGGACCCACACAGACCCACACAGGTGTTAGTGGGACCTACTGGTCCCACTAACACCTCTTCCAGCAGAAACCTTAGCTTTCCCAGGAGGTCTCCCATCCAGGTACTGGCCAGAATGGTGTCTTAAGGCTCCCCGAAGACAGCTCAAGAGTGCTGGTCATAAACATGCCCTAGGCAGCAATATAAAACAAGGCAGATGTGTCCTTCTATGGCATTAAGATGGATTTTGAATCTTCTTTTATGCCATTTTAAAATCTCCTGGATTCTTGTCGGTTTGTATTCCAATTGGATTTCTTGGAAGATGATTTCCCAAGTTCCAGCTGTGGCCCTGTGAGCATTTGTTCCCCTTGCTGGCTCTGCTGTGTGTTGCGGAGTGTACTAAATTGCTGCTTGCACGAGTCAGACAGAATTATCTGATGCAAATCCCATCATAAAATTGACCGCTTCCAACATTTGTCTCCATAAAAGTGCGTCGAGTTAATTGGAAAAAGATGTGCAAATCAGCCAAGTTTGAAACGTATCGGCACCTGGCGTTGTTTGAGTTGATTTTAATTGCAGCCATTGAGACTTGAAACGCTGCAGTATAAAGCATTGATTTAATTCACAGTGCAGTTATTGTATTTCCTGAACTAAAAAGTTAAAGCCCCATAAATTACACGCACACATTTACAACCCATTTATGAACAAAACACTTTATCATGCAAGTAAAGGGGCCGAGAGGAGACGCCCAGGAGACATAGTGCACATTGTGAACAATTTTGGACAATTTTCCCCACGCGGAAGGTGCATTTTTTGAAAGTAAAATACTTGAACAAATATATTGCCTATCACAGTTAGCGAATGGTGAATTTAAAATTGAGGCAAAGAGAAAGAAAGTAGGGTGGAGAATTTCTTTCACAAGTCTACAATAGACATGAGTTCGCCTTTAACTCTTTATCAAAAGGAACAGCAGCAATTCATTTTTAATGTCAAGTTGATTGGACACAGGGGTACCTCAGACAGTTTAAAAGCGAGTACACCGAATTAAAAGACCAATCCCATTATCAGCCTGCAGATACAAGACAGAGCCTGTTTAATACACTCATCGTGCGTAGAAGTAGAACTATAGCCCCGCCTGGTGGCAGAGAGATGTAATTGCACTTGAAACAATTTCTCACAATTTTCCTTCCGCGGTGTCCAGGATCTGGCACGTTTTCTCTTTAGTGCTCAAGTCTATGAGTAAAGGGATAAAACCCTTTATACCATAAAGATATAAAGAATGACATAGAAAACTAAGTCTGGGAATCTCCTTTTTACAACTTAGGTTGTAAAAGTAAGTTTGATCAAAAGTCTGTTGTTTGAACACCCTAAGGGAGAAAATACATTTTGAGATTAAAATTAATCCCAATTGTTCAATTTAAGGCATATAAGTGATTTCTGGGAAGATTTGTCAAATTTTAAACCATATTTCAAGATTACAATTGTTTTTTGTTGCTCCACAGATCAACAAAGGAATTAATGACGCATACTGTACTGTCTTATGACTGTGTATCTGAGCAACAAAGTCACGTGCTGGAGAGAAAAAGAATGTGGAGGTACATTTACATGATAGCCAATATCATGATCAGGTGAGCCGCATTCTCTTTGTCAGTGCTGAACTATGTTCTAAACAGATCTAAGCTTTTCTTGTGCAATACTCAAGGAAACAAGAAGGGAAATTGTGTTCTTATGACAAAGACTGTACCTCATATCTGTTTAACCTTTGCGATTTCTGATCTTGGATGCACTGGGATTTTAAAAAGCTTTCTGCACATGTCATGCAATCTGACATATTATGGATTCCAGTGTAACACCAACTAAAACCTGGATGCTGCTGCACAGTTAAGCAATTGTTTGACAAAGAAAAAGCCACAACAAAGCAGATTTCAGTCAAAGTCATTTTAATGAGAAAGAGCACATATTGTTGTGTGTGAAACAAGTTGCTGATCATCAGCAAAACAAGAGAGCACATCCTGCCACCACATTGAAAGTGCCCCTTGAGGGCCAGGACTGCATTCGTTAAAACAAAACGCAAATTAATCCCCCTTGGTCCCCGTTTTATAGTGTATGCACTTTTAATATCAAGTAATCTATTTGCCCATTTTTATTTCCTCCTGTGTTAACATACTGTACATCAGAGACAGTAGCATTTACACTGAACTTGAGAACACACAAGAAAGAAATAGTAGAAATGAAATAGCATAAAATCCAAGTTAAAGGATAACTCTACAAATTGTGGTACTGTATGTGGGTCTTCACAGCTCTTCTAGGTCAACAACACTATAGGAAAACCTGTCAATTTCAAAATGAATTTTAAAAGAGACAAAACTACAATATACCAATTGTGATCATTTGGCATTTAGGCCAGCAATGTGCCAGAGGAAACAAATTTAAGTCTGACAACTTACAATGTTCATCTTAGAGGCTCTGCAGAGTTACATCTGTCTTGAAAGCATCAAGCAGCAGAGATCAAGGGGTTAATGCCTTGATGAAGCTAAGATGGCCCTAGTTAGTAGAATATCACAAAACAGGTTATGTCACTGTGTAGCGTGCAGTAGGCATGAATTTGTGTGAGTGGCTGTCTTCGTTTTGCATCAGCACATAATAAAAGGCGTGCTTCTTCAGATGGCCCCATGTAAAGCACATGGCTACACGAGCCAGTTCCAGAATTAAATTCTTCAGGAAGGATAAATAACATTGACAAAGGTCATGTAAGCCATTGCATCACTTTAAAAATAAAAGCTTTGTTTTTACTTACATGGAATTTCAAATGTATTTACAATGGTTGGTTAAAGGCACTGAGAAAGTATGTCACAGGAGTCAAATCACCCTGAAATCCATGTCTAATACTATACACAGGTAAAGGTTAGCACTCAGACTCCCTGTCACCTTAGTAAGTTATAACACTCTTATACAAAAAGCTGGTGTGGACTAAAATCACACAAAGCTACTACCTCTTACAAATGGAATACAAAATCTATTAATCCATCTAAAAAAGTTTGGTCCAGACAATTCAAAAAATGTCTACAACTCAACTATCCCTTTGATGGATTAACCATCAGAGAAACTTTATTTTTATTTTTTTGCCAAACAGTACGAGCAGTTAACATGTCTTGGAATGTATTATCTGTTCCTAAGGACTGGGGCTGTCTCTTCTTAAACATCCTGACATAGTTCACTCCCACCACAGAATGAACTGTGCATCACCTTGCAGAGGTTAAATAAGCCACAGAACTGCCATTCTAGTATTCTCTAGTTCTCTAGTTGTCATCCTCTAGTACTCTGGGGAAAATTGCCAGCGTGTTTAGACCTTTCTATCCCCTTTAAACCGTTTGTTAGAATAAAAAATATATACATGATACATGATGATGGGGAAAAAAGCTACCCCAATGTTCCCTACCCAATTCTCAGTTTTCCAGGACTTCCCCTCCATTGCAAATAAGACCCTAATGATGTGGCAAAGCCAAATCTGAGCACAGAGACCTCAATCCCAAATACTGGACGCAGTTCAATAAATTACTTTCCTCCAACAGGGAGCCAGTAAATTCAGTTTAACGCTCAAAAGGCTGTCAGTAACTGCCACAGCATCACTGAAGTGAGACGATTCCAAGCCCAGAGGGTTTCAGAAATAATTAACGCTGCTTTGGTAAAAATCAGGGTCAGGCTCAATTACAGTTACCCAGAATGACAAGCAATTAATTACAATTACGAGCCTTTATTAATTTGAGAGTTTTTAATGTTATCTGCTTTTCTGCATAAAAATATGAGCCCTGACAGTAACCAGTGTATGTCACTCTCAGTAACAAATAAAGTGCAGTTGAACTTGCCTATACAAGTGCAATTGGGACCCCAGAACAAGACACGGTTACAGTGCAGCACCGTACAAACTTTTCCCCCTTTTGAATTTAAATATTTGGCCGAGCAAGTCATTAAGTTGATGTGCAACTAAACTGATCTTTAGCATCACATGCCTTCTCTACAGTAGGTGGACCAGAGAAACCAGCCGGAAACGAAATGCAAATATAATCCATTCTGAGAAATGACAGGCTTTCATTAAGAAATTGTGGGCATATACAACAAACTGATTCAAACTAGTAGAGTCCAATTCCCTACTAGCAACAAAAAGGCAAAGGATCTCCCTGACCTCCTTAAGTTCGCTGCCTTTCTTACAGTACATTTCCGGAGCTGTGCTCATGTGTTCCTTAAAAACAAAGATCTGTTTTGGAACACATGAACAGCGTGCAGCGGATGAATTTCCTCCTCCTATCTGCTGTAATGACGAGCCATTTTAATGGTTCTAGGAGAAATCTCTACACTGGTCTTGTAAATTCAGAGGTGTCTTTGAAGGCTGTTAGGAATGGTAAGATTAGAATGATTTTCATTAACGTGCTGCACATTTTTCAACTCCTTACCTCTGCCGAAGATGGGCACTCCATCCTAGTCAACTAAAATGAGAGAAATTGCCTGTACAAAAAACAACTGAAAAACAGCAACCAGGAAGATGATCAGTAACATTCCTGTTGCATCAACACAGTAACTAGTCTCTTCTCGGATATTTAAGCAAAAACACTGCTATTTCCAAAATAAAAAAATGCTTAGTACACTGTGGATACAAAAATGGATAAAACTTGTAAAAGGTTACTACTGAACGTGACACTGCCAGTTTTAAAATTTTAAGGCACACTTTGACTGGCACATTACAGGAAAAAATATTATTTTCCTTCCAGAGGTGGTAAAAAACAAATACTTGGGTGTACAGTTCTTGATAAATCAAGGACATGTACTACTTCACAGCCCTATCTAACATGTATGTTCTAAATTCAGCTCACAGAAACACATGGCTCCTTCTCACACTGAGAGGTTCCATACAAATAGTTTTCCTAATATTTTTCTCACTTGTTGCATAGACTAGAATGAATACAATTCAGATATTTTAGCACAATTGTAAATTTAAGTGGTTTAGAACATTTTTCGAATAGAGCAATATCTTGTTTTATCATTAACAGTGTGAATCAAAGCACCATGTGTAAAAAAACAGGCGAAAGAGTTAGTTTTTAGTCCCCTCTGTATTTTGCCACCAAAGGCTGTCTTGCCATCTTAATCCATTCTGCTCTGGTGCAGGTAGCATGTGTAGCAGGAATAGGAATTGAGAAGCACAGTTCAAACAGAAGGATCTGTAAGGCTCCAGCCCTGCCACCCCCCTTGGATCTCAGAACCCTGTGCATTTTAAAGAAAGGCTTTGATAAAAGCTGCCACTGCTTTATCACAGGTAAGAACGAGCACTGAGAAAATGCAATCACAGAAGAGAACAGAAGATGGAACTAACAAACCCAAGACATCACCCACCTCCAGTCAAATCTAAAGGTTACCACTAATAAACCTTGACATGCACAATGAAACTGGCTACTGTTGTTAGTTACCTTCGGATGCAATAACATTTTCAATGCAAATCTGTAGCTGAGCCAAGATCACTCCTTTTGCTTTGTTTTTGCTTTTCTTATCTGCGGGATTATTTTTAGCAGCTCCATCTTGAAGGATCTTTATCTGGAGATAAAGATCAATAAGGAGCGTGAAGAAACCGACAGTCTTCCACCTCTGAAATTGTGTATAGATTTTTGAATTAAGGCCCTTGAGGCAAAGTTCCTTTTATGAATAAACAGATAAGCTTTAAGTTGTTTAAATAGGTGAAGACAGGCTTATCAGCTTCCTTTACAGGCGCTGAAAGTTAGTCGGGCGCATTCAGGCTCTTAAGAAGACTGCAGTGAGACTTTTCTGATTGATCACTGTGGTCTGCCACGTGATCTGCTCTCCAGAACATGTTTATAGAGTGCCAAGCAAGAGTCTCGTTTTGTAAACAGGAGGAAGGTTGGAAAACAACGGCGGTATGGAGCGTGGGTAATGTTCCCTGCTGGAACAACAAATGACTTAAAGGTTTTCATAGTTAAACTGTCTGCTTTTTATAAAATTAAACATACAATATTTCAGTAATGTACCAACCAACGCCTTCACAAACAGCCAGTGAATGTTTTCATTCAACCAACAATTTAAGTCCCAAGTTAGGCAAGTTATACAACAATCATTTCAGGAAGGGTCATGAGATAGCCGTATGAAAGGAGCAAGTATCAGTCAGTAATTTCCAAGGACGAACAATCGAATAGTCCTTGTTTCTTTCATCTTAGAGTGCATGATACCTACCAAGAACCAGCTCCTCTTACTTCAGATCCTTTCAATTAAAGCCAAAGAGAGGATGGTGGCTTCTGTCCATTCTTCCCACCAAAACGTCACGTTTTTAGTCTTTTTGTTTTTAAATAGATGTATTAACGTCACGTTAAAAAAAACACCTACATTTCCAGTTTGTTTGCAGTTTTGGAGGAAAAAAATGAGTTGAGCAGTAGAAGAATGTATGTTGTGGAACCTTTGATCCTTCCAGTCTTCTGTGCTCCACAGATCAGAGACGCAAGGTTCATCTGACACACAAAGGAAAGAAATCTGATATAAGAACCCTAGCAAGGGAGGATCTGTAAGAAACTGTATCTCTCATTACAGAACGAGTAGGAAAGGAAAATCAGTTGGTACAGACTACTCATTTAATCACAGCTGGTTTTATTTTATAGGGACATATTTTCAAAAAGCTCTGATGCTGACTGATGCTGGATGGAAACATAAATAGGTCAATGTGGAGACATATTGTGTCTCTGACTTTTTGTGACAGCTGGGTTTCCTTTGAGCATAAAAAGAAACTTGAAAGGTAAGAATTTTGATTTGCTGAAAATTGATTTTTTCCCCTTAAAAACAGTGTCAAACCACAAACGTATTACCACTCAGGTCCTTGCATTCCAAAGATCTACATCAAGATAGGGAACAGGGGAGTTCATCTGATTTATTTGATTTGAGAACTGATACCAGGGTCCAACTCCTGCATTGGCTCAGAAGCAATCTGGACACCCCAAGAGGAGAGTGTCTCTGTCTCCAGTGACCTCAACTGGGCATCTGTAAGCATAAACTCCACCACTACTATCAATCAACTTTGGATACTACATACCATAATAGTGAGTTACCTCCATCCTGGCTTCAATCACAGAGTACTTAATGTTATTGTAGGCAAATAAGACTAGGTGTAGAACATTTTTGAAGTATGAAACCAGCTTATTAAGTATGTATATTTTATTATGCATATATCACTGATATTGATAACTTTGACTCAGATGTTGCTTTGACTAACAACCAGACTCGAAAGAACACTCATAAAGGAAACTGAGGTTCAATGAGCTGCCTTAAAAATCTGACTGGGGCTACAACCGTGTAAAACACCTTAAGCGTTATATATCTTCAGCATTTATATTTCCTTTAACCATAGCATCGGCTTCAAAATATGTGAACACCAACAGTTCAAAAGTGCCGTGCTGGTCAGTGCTCACCTCCTCAAGGACCTGGCCTCGTACACAGTGGTGTCGTCGTCGTCGCTCTCCAGTGGCGCCATCTCCATGGTATCGTCGTGGTTGGACAGCAGCCCATACTTCTTTCTCTGCGTTGTTGTCTTCCGCAACCTGCAAGAGCAAGAGCCCATGAAGCACCAGAGAACGAAGCGACCCTGTTTTACCAACATAGACCTGTGTGCCTCACCCCCTCCAGGGTGGATTTACTGTACTCCCATCTGTGTGCCCAGGTGTAAAACTAAGAAACCACTCATCCTCACTGCAATATCACCTACAGACAATGTAAAGTAACTCTCTTATCTCCTGTAACACTACTGTACTACAGGAGATTTTCTCTCTTGGTTAAGTTTGTCTTTCTGGTTTTGTTGTATTGGCCTGAGCCATAAAACAAAATTCCCCCAGAAGATAATAAAGTCTGAACGGAACGGAACTGTGCATCCCCTCTCTAATACCACAGCACTAACACACTATATCTCTGAGTATCTGTAACACCAACCATCGCAAAGTCACTGAACACCAGACATCGAAAAGGAAACCTAAACGTTACTTTACCATTGGTAAAAATAAATAAATAAATAAATAAAAGAAAACAGGAAAGGCTGCTTAACAAGTTATTAGGTCCGCCCACGCTTGGCACACTGGCACCTTAATGAGGTTGTTAGCGCGGAAGACATTTATTATGAATTCGTCATAGTGTCATATCGACTGAGCAAAGAGATTCAAAGTCTGTTACTACTTATTTCTCTGCTTATATATGACATCCCTGTATACTACTACATAATTCTTCTACAAATGTGGGTCACACTTTCCGTTGCGTGTCAGAAGTTCTCTGGATCAAGTTTTTTTCTGTGCTTCACAATATTAATACCAGGGTAAATTCTCCTGGTTCGTCAAACCTTTTGGGGACATTCATGTGACCCTTGTGAAATCTACTCAAATCTGTAACTATGGAAAGTGAGCACGGTACTGTAAAATATTTAAATACGCAACTGCACATTTTAATATACAGGAAAAAAAACTAAAATGATTGTCTTGCTGTCATTTCTTAAGTACTTCTTACTTCACAGACTTAAAAAAAAACCTACGAGCAATATGCTGTACTTATGTTCTGGCTGTTGTAACTCTTGTATTACAACACGAAGTCAGAAGAGGACGTCGGAAAACACCAAGCCTAACCGCCGCGCAGTGAAACTGGGGTAATTTGGACATGAGTCAGTTTCTCACCAAAAATGTGTAAGTCACAAAATTTCAAGTCTCCGTGTTGAAATCGTGAACTCCATAGCTATTCGCGGAAATGTAATGCTTAATCTACCGAGTAACTCGATTAAAAAAAACACACAAAAACTATTCTATATAAAGCTGTGTTCCTCTTTATAATTATGTTTCCAAATACTCACCTGACAGCTCTGACAATGAAATACACGACTCCGATGACCGTGATGCCCATCAACACGTACAGTGCTCTCTGGATCATCGATCTGTTCACACTGAAATCATTGTATCCTTTGCTCCCGTTTTCAGTCCCGTTGACGTGGCCGTTACGTGTGGTTGAAACTGTGGGATTCAGGGTTTTGTTGGCCGGAGAGTCAAGACTGGCATTTTCGGGGTTCTGGTCTCCAGTAACCGCCGAGGCAACAAACCGAAGTATCACCATGGAAAGCAAACCCACCGGAAGCTGCATCTTTCTCGATGTTTCTCGCTTTAAACAAAGATCAGTTCCTCAATCGTACGCGTCTGTTCCACTTGTCTTCGCGATATTCATATGGGAAAGGACATCAGCGTCACCGTTTTTCTCCTGTGTTTGCTGAGTGTGTCTGTAATTTCCTCAAGTGGTCCCCACTTCCTGGTTGTGACGGGAAGATCACCCGTCAGTAAGTCAGATCCGGCTTGGAAACAGTGGTCGGAGAAAATAGTTCCGCCTGGTCACGCTTTTTAATGGCAACTCGACAGTATTCTCGGTAAACGAAGCTTGATGTATGCTTGATGTATGATTTTTTCCCGAAGCGTATTACTCGTATTTTATGAGAAGAAAAACTAAGTGTTGTTCATCGCGTAAATTTTGTTTACAGATACTCTGGAATGTGCAAGTACCGCGATTTACAAAAGGCGTGCAAACGATTAGACGGTAGAGATTCAAAAGTTATTTCGGTGCAGTTCAGAAGCTACAGTGTAGGTAAATAGGTAAAATAAGGGTCTGCCTTTTCTCTGAATGTTAGTTTATACTGTACTTATTTTATCCCGAATAATCCCAAAGCGCTTTAAAAAAATGATGCACGGTTTAGTTATTACTGGTGGTTTCAGGTAGTGGTGAATGGTAGAGAAATTATTTATTCAATTAACTTAAGTGAGGGCCTAAGCTAAATCGTTTATTGAACACGGTAGAACCTCAGGTGAAGGAGCCCAACCTCTGCAGCACAGTATCCACGCTCAACATGTCGGGGCACTGGACGGGAAAGTCAGGTGCTGGGGAAAGAGCGCCACCTACCCATCACCAGTTTCACTTTCAGCAGCAATACTCTCCCTGTACTGACCGAGCTTAATCTTGTTTAACTGCCTGTTTTCTTCATTATAAACGCTGTCTTTTTTTTGCTGTCCACCTTTAAGCCATAGTATTTTACATATAGGAGGGGACCACTAAAATATAAAACTCCACCACTTTAATATGAAAATATGAGGTGTAGCTACTATTTCATGCCTGCAGCCTCAGTATACAGCAGATCAGGTAGAGTGAGAAATGGCCAACCAAATTAAGGGCATGTTTTAGGCACTCACAGTGCAGCTATTAGTTTTGAAAGCATGTTACTCTATAACAAGCATGCCGAGGAGAGACTGCTCAGACCTTGTTAAATGTCTTAATGATGCTTCTGTAGGAGAATAGGTCTGGAATTAAAGACTAAGTGCTGCAGCAAACTAGAATATTCTCACCAAACAGGGATTAAGTCTCATTAAAGAAACCTAGCGAAAATGAAAATCAGAAGCCCTCCAGGAATAGAGCTAAGAGCCCTGTCCCTGAACAGAAATGTTTTTGTTCTTGAGAAAACCCTCTTTGTGCTGTCTGTTTCACAAAGGCTTGCAGGAACGCTTATCTTCTGATCATTTCTAAACGGATGAGGCACAAGGGGTGGAGGGGTGACTCTGTGGCTCAGGATCCACACCTGTGGCTGAAAGGTTACCAGATCAAACCCTGCGGTCAGCAGAGGAATCCTACTCCATTGGGCCCCTGAGCAAGGCCCTTAACCCCAGCTTCTCCAGGGGCCCGCCGTATAAATGGCCAACCCTGTGCTCTGACCCCAGGCTTCTCTCTCCCGCCGTCTGCGTCTCAGAGAGCAAGCTGGGGTCTGCAAAAAGAAATTCCTAATGCAAGAAATTGTATATGGCCAATAAAGTGATCTTAAGTAGGATATGGATTTAATCATTAACACTTAATCCCCACAAGAAAGCCATTGTGCTACTAGAATGTGGTCACACCCTCGGTGCCCAAGAAGGGCAGGATAGCCCACACTGGCAACATAGCCGGTAATTTATAACTAAAACATCCTTACCACGATCATTACAGCCAGATTGATCTGAGAAAATTACAGCAAAGTGATTCATTTTCCCCAGTGTGTTTTTAACTGCATTGGTGTAACATCTTGGAGGAGTAGAAGTTGCCAGGTGCAAACCACACCGATGGTAAAGACTTTTAAATCTTCCTTTTAACCAGGCTTGCCATTCAAGCTGGTAAAGCAGCACATCAGCAGTTCCTAATAAACCCTCTGTTGGGAACTCCTAAATGAGAATGTAGCACACACAGAATATCAATCATTTCACCAAAGGCATGCGACCCAAAGTGTACTTCCCCCAGAAAGAATACATTTGATATTCAGCACAAAATTGTAGGCCAATTGTGGAACAAAACGTGAACAGGGGAAAGCTTCTTATGGCGTGGGGATATTCATTAACCAAGCTAAACCATTTTTTTCTGGTGTCTTCACCTATGTTGAGCATACTTCGCTAATAGAGAATGGTTCCAAAGGAGCACTCAAAACAGGGATGGTTTCCATCAATTTAAACTTCTCACACTGGTTCCAATATCGAGTCACTGGCAGCAGTTTCCCCAGAGTGCGGTGGGAGAATTAAAAGGTTTGTGATGTTTTGGGAACAGCCTATATTTGAGAATATGCAGAATCTTGGTGAAAAACATTCAGGATTACACTGGCAGTGCAAGCTACACTATTTTAAAGAGATTATACACCCAAAGTCATTGTCCATTGCAAGCTTTATTAGAAATAAAGGGGTTCAGGTTTTAAATCATATTTCTATTGCCAGTGTAACCTCAGTTAAAAAATAAACTCCTTGCCTGGAAGACATGTTGCAGATGCACAGTCCACCAAGTCAACCTGTTAAAGGAAGCGCATCAGGACAAGTGCAGAAAGCTGAGAACAGGAGTTAGCACAGAACTGGCAATGAATGGGGAGGGAGGATGTGAATGGAAGTCTGTAACTTAGGTCTAAGAACAAGTACATAAGGCTGAGTAAGAAATAAGAATGTTATTAAAAATTACAGAATGTAAAAGTCGCACATAAGAACAGAAGGGAAGAAAAAAAAAAAAGAGGCACAAGTGATGAAAGCAGGAATAAAAGATTTATTAAAAGGCACAAGATCCAGAAGGTATGAGCCATTATCACAACAATGGGTCAAAAGGGACAAAGGATTACAGAAAACATTTTTAGAAAATATTTTAATTCTTTTCGCAATACAAATTTATCTTCATATGGCTCTAGAATGGTCTGAAAACCCTGGTCAAAGCAGATATCAAAATATACATTTGTTTTAGTTATAAAACCTGTATTGCTTCCCTATCACCATTTATCTGGTACAAAAAGCATGAATATTTACACCTTTTCCCCCCCATTATTCCCCTACACAGCCCCCCTAAAAAAATAGCTAAATGCCAAAACTAATAAGCGGTGATCAACTCAACCTGTAGATAGGTTAGTTATAGGGGCACAAAATTCATCCTCTGTAACTGTAAAGTATACAAACCCATAAATTAAGGCTATAGTAAATATTCTCTCCATGAAGTGTCAGTTTCTGCGTAATACTCCCACATATTTAAGGCATTAAAGATGTACTCTCATGCAAGTACCACTATGCAATGTCACTTTATATTGAAACTTCAAACATTAAAGATGTTTTTGAGCGTGGCTTGCAAAACATTTTGGACTTTTCCAAGTATACAAGGTGGTAGAGAAATTCACAAAAAGCTGCTGATGGCATAAACATCCAACTCCTACAACTATTCTACAGTACATGTAGAGTAGATCTAGACAAGAGTCCCTGCGTGCAAAAACCTACAACTCGCCGGTATTTTTGGTCAGATGAAGTACCCTGTGCAGGAGTTATATTCAAAGTGACCTGCAGACTGTACAAAATTTCAGGAAATGGGAAAACCAGCATTAACAGATATTGTTCCTTTAATAGTTTTTTAAAAGGATTATGGCTCTTGCACATTGACAAGTCCAAATCCCTCGGTGACACTATGGTCTGATCGCTTAAAACAGCTTAGCAATTAAGGTCTTACAGTACTTTCAAACAGCTTATGTGAAGTGTCTTATAATGCCACTATTAAATGCACAGCCTTCAACTTCCAATTTTGCGCTGTTAGAATTTCATTCAAGGAGATATTAATATATAAAGGCATTTAGCAGGAACTAGATGTAACAAAAGTCATTAAGGTGAAGGGAAGAAAATGCACTCAGCTTTGGTCCTAGGTATGTTGATTACCCTGAAAAATATTTTACAAAAAAATATTGCTTTGCACCAATTACAAAGTAAAATGTGTCCCAAATAGTTTGAACGTAAGCACAAAGGTTACTGAATAAGGTACACAGTAAGATCAACATGCCAATTGAAGGCATTATTTCTACATATTAAATATCCTAAAGGCACAAAGGAATGTCTGAAACTTAAGACTCTGGACAGAACGAGTGGTACCCAACTCATCAGCAGGCACCAAAAACAGGTTAAATGTATAGATATGCATAAGTTTTAAACTGTAGCAAGCCCCATCAGGAATAGATAACATATGCCCATTACCAAGTCAACCGTTATTTTAAAAGCATCATAATAAAAGGGCATTTAAAGTACGACAGAAGTAGGATAATGGCTCTAGTGCACCACCCATTTGTACAATTGCAGTTGGGATAAAAAGACTTCCAAATTGGTCTGGGTCTTTATTTTAGCCAGGTAGAAGATTTCTATGGAACAAGCTACGTATAAGGCCAGCTCAAGTCTTTAGAGCACTTAACTATATCCACGCCCCCCCCTATTGAATGGTAAAAAAAGATCTAGACTTTACTGGCTTACCAGAAAAACAGCAATCTAAAGCTTTAAGCTCTTATTGCTTAAAGGTCACTGCCAGGTTTAAAGTTCCTGGACACTTCCAGAGATTAAAATTTTGAAAATAAGAGGCTCTTCATTAACTTAAATGATTAATGTTTTGTTTCAATTTTTTTCTCCAAATGACTTGTATAAGTCATCCCCACCTACCAGCCTGCCTGTTAGCGTTAGAACTTCAAACTGGTATAAGACAAATGCTTATGTGTTGAGCATCTCCAGGAGCCAACTACACAGGGGCTTGTTCTGAGCTTTGAAGCTTCCACCAAAATAAAGGTTGAGATATGGCTGCCCAACAGGTAAAGGTCACTTAAACCTAAAGAGAATCAAAAACGCCAATGCCTGCCAAAGTGTTACTTGCCACTCCTTGTGTACTATTCAGAAGTACACAAAACAATGAAAAGGCACAGTAATGAAATTACACCACTGACCCAACCCCCCCCCAAAAAAAGACAGTATAGGAAAGATGTGAATACGCACAATGAAAAAAGTTGGTTTGTACACAATTGCATAAAGTTAAAAATTAAATGGAATCTGCTAGAGCTAAGCTAATAAACAGTAAATAAAGTTATAAGACTGAGGAACCCTGGTATACAAAGGGTCTTATGAAAATGTAAGCTAAATATGCACACTGGGGAATATGAACAATCCTGATTAGCCTTGCCTAATTAACTTCAGCATGGACTTCAATTGAAAAAATCCTTCCTGTGCCTCACAGATATACACAAAAAGTTTGTGCCTCTGAATTATCATTCAACATTACAGAAATGCAGCATTTACACCAATTCGTACATTACCCCATACAACAACCTCTTGTTGAACAGGCATAACATGACGCTTAATGGAATACCAAAATGAAGGCATCTCCACTAAAATAAACAATGTAAGATATTTAGACAAAGGGGCATAGACAGACTCAGATGGATTTAAGAACGTCTCGACTATTTTTACAATAAGGCACAGGATTTTTTTTAAAGGCAGAACATTCAATGTACTATACACCACCCCCTCTAAACCTAGTGGTATGGTTCCCCAAAGGCATCAAGAATATACTAAAAGAAAAAAGGAAAGGCTTTAAGTGTGCAACCTGATAGTCTCACTTGTAGGTTTTCCCCAGAGATGCCATGTGTAAACTATAGTCAATCTGTAGATAAAGATTACATAATGCACAAAACACATGGGAATGACTATACTAGTTCATTAAAAAAAAAGCTAATAAAAGGCTTAAAACCCAAATAAAAAAAAACTCTGGTTTGTTTTTCTCTGGTCTCTAGGTTCAAAGTGGCATTTTATAGATATATATAAATATATAATAAAGGAATGATGGAAGTGTGTCTTGTGGGCATTTCTCCAGCTGAAGGACTTCTCCCACAAGGTTGTCATCTAAAGTGACAGTCTATCCACAACTTCTCCTCTGACCCCTCAACCCCCTGGAGCTGGTCCTTCAGATTGTGGACTTTGAGAAAGAGACTCTCAGGTGATGGTTCTCTCCCAGATCATGATTGTGATACTCAATCAGGCACTGGATTGCTTCTTCCACTGAACCCATCTGAATCAGGGCCATCTTGCGGTCTTTCCTAGATGTAACAGAATAATTGGCAATTTACTGCGTTTATAGTGTTCATGTACACAAACCCTGACGGACATTAGGATTTGAACAACTTCTAGCAGTTGACTAAGACTTATACAAGAAAATCAACTGAGGTTTCTAGCTGGGCTTAAGACATTACAGTCAATGTAGGAATGAGGAAGGAAGCCATAAAATGTTGAGCTAGTCTGTTACATAAATTTAATCAATTCCTTAGACTACTTTTAAAAGAGCAGTATTCAAGTGATCACAAAATGTAAAAAAAGAATAACTGACCAAGAATAGTTTCTCAACTGCTTGTAGCAACAAGATCTTCCTGAACCACCACAACAATGCTCATACTGTTGGGTCTCGGTGTACAGAAGTATTTATTGCTAGTTTCAAATTAAACCACAGACAGTCACCGGTTTGTACTTACTGGAAGAACTTGAATGCCTTGACCACTGCACCAGAGCTTGCAAATAGCATCTTGAGATCATCTTCAACCACCGAAGGTCTATCAATTATGAAAAATAGGGGTGAGAAAATTGCCAGAATGAATGAGCAGGAAATATGAAAATTGTTCACAATGGAATACCACTGTATTCAACTTCACAAAGCACACAAAGAAAAGCCCGAAATTGTCCTAGATTTTACACCTTCATATGTTCTTATCGCTATAATTTATTAACTTACGGGATGTTGGAGAGGTGCAGGGTAGCTGAAGGAGGAAAGATGTTCTGGTAGTTTTTGGAGCCTGGTTTTTTGAACCTGTGCAGGGGTGAACTGCTGAAGTCTTTGGTGAGGCCCTGATCCTCCTGGCCCTCACGAGGCAGCTGCACGGTTGTGTGTTTGGACAGTGTCACTCGGATTGCCTTCCCGTGGAGTTTCTGTCCATTCAGATGACTCATTGCTGCCAACACAGGTTAATACATTTACCACAAACAAATTCCAGAACCACAAGTCAGTTTGCAAACCCAAAGCCCCCATTCCAAGACTCAAATGACAACCAAAGTTTAATTGTTGGCATGAAGTCCACATTTCATTTACTGAAATCACTTTTGCTTTTTAATACCCATTGCAAAGTAGATTGAATCATTTTCAGTTTTTATAACCTCGGAAAGGCAGTTTTGGATACAATGCAAAAAAGACAGCATAAAAATAGTATTTCAAGGTTGAAGTGTAAATCACTTGTAAAACACTAATTTGTTGAATTGTGTCTGAACTAGAAACTGGAGTTAAGACCTGTCTAAAAGCTCTGCAGATACTATAAATGTTTACTTTAAGAATAAGCATTAAGAAATCTACCAAGCTGAGCCTGCGTCCCATCTGCCATCTGTACCAAGGCATTCTCCTTCTTGTTGAACAGGATCTTCACTCTCATTACATCACCATATACACCTGAACAGAACAAGATGGGCTTGATCAGTAAACGTCACATTAAATCAGTTCTCAATTTCACAATTCTACCTTTCTGTATCTGTTCAGGCTTCTAGCTGTGAGCCAGTGAAAACTTTTCCTCAAAAAGAAAAACGGGTACTTCTCGTCATTTTCATTTAGTAACTGCCTTGGAAAAAGCTCTAAAAGATCATATGAAAATCTTGGACAGCATCTTTAAATATTACTTTTAATGTTGTGAAGCTCTGATATCAATGTCCAGTCGTAGATCACATTACAAAGAAGTCTTGCACAACTCCCATTACATTTCATTAAGTCTAATGCAAACCCCATATTAAGATACAAGTAGTCTAATATTCTTTAGATTAAAGATGCATCACTGCAATAATGGAGTTTTACCAGAGGTAGAAAAGTTACTTTTGTCATCACTTAGGAAATAGGAGGTACATTTCCATACAAGTCATCATAGGAAATCTCTCCCTCCCAGATGCAGTTTAAGATACCATTAAAGACTTGCAGAGGGGGAAACTAATCAAAGTTGTAGTGTTAAAGGAAAAACCCATCAGCAAAGCTTAATATTGGAAAATCAAGAGAATGTTGATTCCATTGTACCAATTATATAAAACTAGGAGACTACAATTAAAAGCAATCTTGTTGTTAAAGCCTATATAAAACATGCAAAGCAAAAGACATGCATTTCTACTGAATTGATAACTAAACAAGCCAAACTTTAAAAATGGAAAAAAATCAAAGTCAAATTGATATACAAAAAAGATGCAGCATCTCAAGACTGAATTTCCATTTATGATCTAAAGTGTCAAAAGCAAATTACAGTTTTGAAAGGGAATTCAGCAGCAGTTTGCTTTTTTTAACTTAATCAAGAACAGACTGGGAAGTCTGCAGAACATCCTACAAGCTCCAGTGCTGTCATTTGCATCACAAGACATGTAAAACACCTGCTTGCATTAACGGTAAGTCACAAATTGTTCTGAAAAAAGTTAAATAATTAAAGTGGTTTAGTTTGTAATATGAACATAATCAACTCCAAAGGACTTGCATATAATGCAATGCAGGGATTAAAAGATTGTGTGTTTATTAACTCGGATCCAGATGTCACTGCAGAATTATATACTACAATGACAAATACAATAGATAATTCCATTAGCATAACTATTAAAAGGGAAGAAGTAAATATTGTGAACAGTATAAAAAGCAATTAAAAGTCTTCACTAACAAGACTAGGTACAAAACGTCTTAAAAGAAGGCAATACAATGAAAGGCCTAGATCTACAGAATAGCAAAAATCAACAAATTAGAAGATTCAATTCAGGCACCACAGGAAGCTGTCAATAAGACATGCGAAAACCAGAGATGAGAGAAATCCCTAGTTCACCTCCCAAATACTCAGCACAATTGCCAATTTGTACCTCTACTGAAAGGAAGCACAGAAAGATGCTACAAAAAACAAGCAAACATAGCAACAGAATGGATTATAGCAGTTATGAGAATGCTGCAGCTTTTTTCCCAAATGATCAACACGCAAAAAAAAACAGCACTCAAGTTTTTTTAGATGAAGTTTAAAAAGAAAAAACAAAAAAGGTAATAAAAAAAGATGCTAATGATAACATACCGAAAAGAATAAAGAGGCATTGGGGCGTAACTCTCTTTATAGGACAGCAGAGGAAGGCAGCGGAGGGAGAAGGGACAGGAAAAGATCGGAGGCAGGAGAGTGGAGGTTGAACATATCATCCACAGCGAGGCAGATCCACGGGGAATGGCGAAAAACGGTGGTTGGATCGTGAAGTTTCAAGGTGGTTAATATTTCAGGGGAGAGGGGCAGGAGGGAAGGGGAGTAGGCACAAAATTCAGTGGAGGGATATTTTGTTGTGTTTGGAAGGGAGTTGTTTTTGTATTCCAAATTACAGTGTTGTGTATTTGTGACAACAGGAAGCAGATGGGTGGGGGGGCATGGGGCGTGCAGTCAGTTGGCAAAAAGTTTCCAGGTCAAGGTATTAAAAACAAAAAAATAAGGGGAGAGGGGAATGGGGAGGGAGAGAAGAAAAAAAGGAGGTAAAAAAAACAAGGTCAGTATACACAAAGAAATATGTAGTGTTCCATTCTGCAGCATCTGCTATTAGATGGTTTAATTAATATGGTAATGATTTTTCAACCTAGAGGAACACTAAAGAGGGAGAAAAAAAAGTTTAAACATGAGACACAGAAAAAGCAGAGACAATATTGACTTCAGATTTTAAGTACACTACAAATGTCGTCAGAAAACTGGAATACTCTAATGGAAATCTTACAGGAAGAAAAACCATCAGGACTATTCAACAGAACAAAACTGGCTTTCACATGTGGGGGGGGTTCTCAAAAAGGTCCGATATGCAATTTGTTGCAGAGAAAGACATACTAAAACACTGCTACAGGGGCAAATCATTTCACATCAAGCAAAACCAATCTACTGTTAAGGAAATCTGAAATGCATTAGATCCTAGTTCATTATAAAGAGTAATCTTTGCAGATTTTCAGTTTGGAAAGTGAAGTTTGTGAAAACATCCTTAATACCACCCAATAAGATACCTTGCAACTGGTGTTATCCTTTTCCAACCATGTTACAAAAAGTTAAGTGCATTATAATTTTGAATTGTATATATATTTTAACTTGGAAAGTAACTTTACAAATGTTACTCCAGAATGAAACGTAACGGTATGAGGTGGCTACATGACTTACGATGTGTCAATGGTTTTCTGAACCATATTTAGCAAGTCACAAAAGGAGACTTAAGACCATTTCAATGAAGCAATATTGTCTCTTCAAAAACAAGAATAAAGCTTTAAAATAATGCAATTTTATGAAGCATGAAATAAAGTGACTAATGTTAGTTCTCAGTTTGGCTGAATAGGGGCTGGAATATAGAAGCAGCTGCTTAGTGGGGTCAAATTACAAGACTAACAACCACCCAGTAATACAAGCAAAGCAGTTCTTAATCTTATATTGTGGAATACAAGACAAATGTTCCGAAGGGACAGGCTTCTACTAGTACAATGGAACAAGTTACTGTCTTAAGATGTGTAAAAAGATGCTTGTGTATTTTTAGGATGTATTTAGGAGTGACATATTTGAACTGCTTTTGGTATTTAAATGCAAGCTCTCAGGATGGGTATAATACTCCAAGTAAAGCAGAGGTGAGGGGAGGGGTCATAAGGAAGATGAAGAAATGCCACTCACACATGTCCAAAGAGTGGGGAAAACCCCAGGAGCTGCAATGAGGTCTAAATGCTAGCAAGCATTACGTTTTAGCAACCTTATGCTATTGCAGGTTAAAATGCTTACGACTTGTCAGGTTATGAGCTCTGCACAGCTAGGAACTACTGCACAATGGAGCTCAATACTAATGTAGAAAACTCAGATCTTGTACATTATGCTCTTCCAAATCGATTTCCAGGGCCATGCATTATACTATAAATGAAGTATATTGCCAGATATTAGAAGGAATCTTACAGTCCTACATTGTGAAAGCACAAGGTAGTCCCTTATGTCTTAACTGAGCTTTCATATATTTTTTTGAAATTCTAATAACCACTGGAGATGTTTTTTTGCAAGGGGAGAAGAACTTCAACCACCCTCATGACAAAAGACGAGCAATATGGAATTGAACTAACCTCAGCGTTCAGGTTGCTAACCAGCAGAACGGAATGGCCACCAGCAAGGCCGTGGATGCCCAGCCTTCCAGCAGCAGCTGCAGCTGCAGCGCCAGGGATGGCCAGAGAAGCCAGTGCCCCAGGGACTCCAGGCATCGTCAGCCCTGAGTGATAAAGACCAGATCAAGAGAAGGGGTTGCAGAGCATTATGGATCAAGCAACTTGTATTTAACCCAAAACCATACTGAAGGCCTTTATATATGAAAGAAGTTAGTGAACTCAAGTTTTAAGGACCTTTGAATCGGAGTGTTACACCAAGATCTGCAAGCAGAAATAGGATAATGGACAAAAAAAAGCAACAATTTAATCTTGCAGCCATTACAATTCAACAAAGGAAACCGCATTATGGGGACATTTAGCTACATAGTTCATAGGATCTCAGCACCAGTGTGCCTGACCTTCTGGACTGCATATACTGATCATTTACTGACCTGCAGCCTGCTGAATAGCAAAGGCAGGTGGGAACCCATGAGCTCCTGCATAAGGAGAAGCTGAGATTATACCAGGAGCACCTGCAGGAAAAAAGCAGACAAGATCAGAAACTACTATAGAAGAAGCATGTTAAAAAAAATACAGGAATAGGTCCCATCTATGCAGGTACATGGGAGAAATAAGGGTGCAACTCCATGTTCCAGTCTGTTCATTATGGGTGGCCCTCACCTGAGCTGTTTTTTTATCAAGTTCAAGTAGGGAGCTGAGTCAGCATTTGTAGGCTGCAAAGGAACAAGTAAAGGTTTTTTCCATGCTGTTAAGAAAAGAGAACCGTTTCGGCTGTGGAGCCTTATTCAGGGGACCTCTATGGTAGATAAATGTCCCCATAATACTATATGCTACGGTGAAATGTAACAAACTTGCAGCCATTCTAGCTACATACCCAAATAAGGCTCCACAGCCAAAATGTTCTCTTTTCAGCATGGAATACACCTTTCCTTGTTCCTTCAGCTTTTACTTTACCATCGAATAATATCCCTGACCTCCCATTGTATACACCTAGCAGTTTTGAGATCTGTTTTAATACAAAGGATTAAGAACTTTAAAAATCACCAAAAAAAATAGATACTTGTAAAACTGAAGTCAAAATTATAAGATAAGGTTAAACACCATTATTGATGTTTAAAACTGTTCCAATTGTCAGCTGTAAGGAAGATTAGTATTTGTAGCAGATGCGGGTTTTTTTTTAGAAAAGAACTGGATAAACGCATGCTGACTGATGTCAACAGAATGTACAAAATTCATAGGCTTGAAGCACGTGGCGTTTCTGGATACAATACAAGTATAGACGCACTGCACCAGGATGCAGATGCCATTTTAAGACCAGTTGCAAATGGAGTCCATTTGGTCCCTTTTCAGAGTTTTGGGAGACCTGTGAGATTCAGCACCATTCCTACCACAGAGCCTGAACAAGCACAAGTCTGTTCAATGAGTCCCGGCACTCCAGATGCCATGCATCTTCACAGTTTGTGCCACACATATCCAATGGGACTCAAGTGTTTAAGAGTGTCCATGGGATAACCGTCACATTCCCTTCCCACAAGAAAGCTACCATTACACAAGCAGCATGTGAGGTTCAAGACTTGATAAACGGAGCACTGTTCAGCCAGGACAGTAATTTTACTACAAGTAATATTCTATAATAACTAAACTCACATTTGGACTTTTGCACATCCACCATACAACTTCAGGCAGAGTGATATTTAAAAATGCTAATAAATTATATATCACAAGTTCAGTGCTATATAATTCTGTACTCCAGAATATCTGGAATCTCCTTCCTCACTGAACAGCTTACAAAAGTAAAATAAAGTTCATAATTTACTACTACATACATCAATTCTCTTCACAGCATTAACAAAGGATCACAAACCTCAAAACAAAACGTACTTTTAACGTCAATCTTTCTAGTCTCATACAGTAAAGGCTGGAAAAACTATTTGTAGACCCCAAGCTATAAAATTGCATTTAGTTTGTAAAACTACATCAAACTTGACATCCATTACCTTAAAGAATAAAATCAAGGAAACAATTCTAAGAATATAGCATGTTGCACACAGCTACTCTAAAACCCAACAACCTGAGAGCATAAGGTTCTTGGGCACAAGGCTCTCCCAGTCCTTTCAACATATTCCTTACCAAAAGCAGCAGCCATAGCTTGGTGATCAATGGAGGGCTGGCTATCCCCTGTGGGCAGGTCTGGCCGAGTGTAGTCACGACTCTTGTCATTATTGTACTTCACATTCAGGCTGGTCAGTTTGGAGAAGTTGATGCGCAGAGTGCAGCAGGCGTTGTAAATATTCTGTCCATCCAATGCCTTTATAAACAAGTTACATAAGATACTGATGCACCAAAAAAACGGAAAGGTAGGAGGAAAGATGTGGTTACGGACTAATAATGCAAAATGAACTGTGATAGCTGGGTTAAGTTAGTATGAAAATAGTTTAAGGACAATACGAGCCTGGAAAGGCTACTGAATAACTTTTGTTGATGTACCTCCAAGTTAAACTTTGTCCCTTGGATGTAAAAAATTACTGAAGCCGTGTTGTGAAACAGTAGAGAGGAAGTGGAATACAAGTGCGCACCAAGTATTGCTCTGGAGTATCCAGTCATGACAGACAGAGGGCAGTACTCACCAATTTAGCATGCTGAGCAGTCAAACCATCTGCATACTGAAGAAGGGCTTGGAACTGGTTGTTCTTGGTAAATGTGATAATCTTCAACACTGTACCAAACTTGGAAAATATCTAAAGAAAAAATTGGAATAGCCCTTGAAAATACACCCTTTTGATAAACATTGAGAGTAAGTCTAAGATACAAAAAATCATGCCCTTTAAGAAACATTTTCAATGTTACATCTAGAAAGGGCTGTGGTGATCATTTAAATCAAACTGGATGATATGTTCACCAAAGCTCAACCCTTCATGAGACACTTGTATGTCTAACAAACACACACGTAGTTTGGTTAAAAGGTACCATAGTGCCACTTCAAAGCAGTTTTAATTGCTCTCGCAGTCGATAGAATTACCTGGTGCAGAACATCCAGCGTCACAGGGTAGAAAAGATTCTCCACAATAATGCGAAGTACAGGGCTCTGGGAGCCCATTCCTGATGTGTCCACGCTGCTCATTGACATGCTACCTGTCTGGACTGCATTCACTGCTTGCAGTGCAGCCTGTGCCCTCTGGGGGGAGAAAAGCCATTTAGTAATGCCTTAGCAGAACCCAGTAACCAGAACAAACTTAAACTTGCTGCTTTGTTTTTTAAGTTTATTTCGGATAATGCTTGACTCATTAGGAATCTGATATTAACACTACCATTGAAAGGGCTAAATTATAGATTTTTCCCTTTGTAACTCAGTTGTTTCTAAAGAAACATATATAGCCCTTAACTTCCATTTCCCTAATGGTCGCCAAGATTACAGCTGAACTAAATGGACATTACACCTCAATAACAGTTTATTATAAAGTCAAAACTAATGCATATGAAAAGGAAACTGCAAGCAAACTTTCCACAGAACAGCACACCATAGTTTATGACTGCTATAAAAGGATAAAGAAACTGGTGTGTAAACCAGATCAGGTATTTAGCAAATATCATTAGCATGCAATTGCATTTGGGTACATAGTCTTATTCATCTGTTTACTGCACTTTTCCCCAATGCCTTTCCTTAACATTAAGCTTATAGTGCCCTTCATCTGCAAAAGCAAACAAGCCCACTTTTGCAAACAAAGGAAAAAGGGATAATTGAGCACAAACTTTACTGGTCTAATGCAATAACATCTCAGTTTCTATATTAACAGCTTTAAACAGAAAAAACAAGGCTATATACTTACCACCTGATTTGGGGAGTTGTCAGTCTTGAGCTCCTTGTGATTGGAGTACTGCATGAAAATGGGGTGGTTCCTGATAACTGGAGTCACAGAAGAGTAGTAGCTTACCATGGTCTGGGCAGCTTCCTCTGTGTTCATTTCTAGGAAGGCCTAGAGCACACACAGTGGTTCAGGGGTACATTCTACAGTCTAAAAAAAAGACTAGTTTATATAACTTACACCACTAATTCAAAATAATTTAAATAATGGGCACTCATCTTGTAATTGAGGAAAACGTAAACATAACATTCATAATTGTGCCTGACCTTCCTAAACTTTTAGGAATTTCTGCACTACTAAAGCAGCTCACATTTGAAAGCAGAAAAACCTTTGACATACCTGGTTCTTTCCTTTCAGCATGAGCAAGTTGGTGACTTTGCCAAAGGGAAGTCCCAGAGAGATGACCTCAGCCTCATTTATGTCATTAGGGAGCTTGCGCACATGGATGACACGGGAGGGAGCACTAGGACTCCTAAAGTCTCCTTTGAACTTCTTACTATCATTGCCATTGGCTGAAAGAAAGATGATAGTTATTTTTTTGTTTTCCAAATCCTAGAAAAAAGAAAGGCAAACTGTACCTACAAAAATAGTTACCTGCTCCAGAACTGCTCATGATATATGGTCCGTTAGAGACGCAAGATGAAAAAAGTTCGTCAGATCCTCGCTGCAAAGAAAAAACCCATTCAGAATACTTTATTCATCCCCATGTGGGGTAACTTAAACACATTTGGAAGTCTCCTCAAATGAAGGGATTTGTTGATCTCAATGTATGGGGAAAACAAGTAAAGCTAGCTACAGCTAATAGTTTTTAGCCAACATAATACGAGTGAAACATCACCCACCCTAAGTAAAAGGAATATCCTGAGTATTAAGTTTACACAGCTCCAAAAACCTGCACTGCACAGGTTGAACCAACCATACAATGCCCTTTTAACCAGATAAACGGGAGCTTTTAAGTCTCACCCTTCCCAGTAAATGCAATTCATTCACAGGTAGAAATAGTAGCTGTTAAATTAAAAGGACAGTGGCATACTGTTCTCTCTTCACAAAGGAGAGCTCATTTCCATGAAACCCAGCACCAAAATAAACTTTGATCTAGGAGATTGAGATTATATTGCACCTAATGTGCACATAAAAGCATCTTACACCAGCACCCAAAAAACATTCAGTTGCTGCTGTAAGCAAACATTTCTAGACTATGTTTTGTCATCAAGAGTAGTGGCAGACAAGACTTCCCCTTTAAAAAATAAGGGAAAAACTAAAGCTGTTCAGCTCATCCAGGTGTTTCATGAAAAGTCGAGGTATTGCCTTCAATATGGCTGGGTAGCTTTGTTAAAGAGCCACATTTCCAGTTTCCACTACACTTGCACATAGCTCGATATCAGCTATGCATAATTAGTTCAGTGCATAACTAGTAGAATTAGCTTAATAAAGCCTTTTAAAGTGATCTTCTAAATCGCTCTATTGGCCACATGCAATTTATTGTATTAAGAATTTGTCTTTTCGCATACCCCAGCTTGCCCCGAGACTGACAGGGAGAGAAGCTTGGGGTCAGAGCGCAGGCGTCCAACAGAGTAGGATTCGTCTGCTGGATACACAAGAGCTGGAAGGTTGCCGTTAATGTAAATACTGAAAATTTACATTAGCGTTAAGTTCAGAAACCAAAATGAGGAATAATGTAAAAGTCCCCTACAACATGGCTCTACTTTGCCTGAGACCCTGCTGCATTTAGCATGTCCCTGTGAAAAGCCAAAACAGTCCAGATTCTGCCAAGGCTCAGTTTAATGGGAACAGGAGCTGCACAAAGTATGGATAATTTAAATAATAAAACAAGCCAGAGATGCAGAGGAAGCAAGACGGGATCTGCAATCTTGCATCACCTTGCTTTAATAGTGTAACACCTGACGTTCAAACTGCTACCCCCCACCCACCTGACTCCCCAACTGTACAATTCAAAGAGCTCGAGACTCCAGCTAAATCCACATGTAGTTATGAGCTACATCTCCTAACATGCCCTACAGCCATAAACTGTATTTTACATGCTCTTGTTCAACTGCACAGCACCCAACAATTAAGCACCCTAGCAATTAGGTTACCACCCAATTTACCTTGAACCCCCCCCCACTCCCAAACAACAGCTCATAACCACCCCCCATAGGCCTGATCTTCAGGTAATTAAAAACAAAACCATAGGAAACTGGCAATTGACATGTTTTTCAGCTTTACACAAATGTCAATACCAAAGAAACAATAAATTAAAGTGTTAATCCTTCTTTAACTTCAGAAGGAAATCCAAATGCTGCTGGTGCATTCCAGAAGTGAACCCCCCCCAAGTCTCCCACTACAGCTTTAACCCAGCTCCTCTTGTAGGCCAAAGGTCACACCACCACCACCACCCTCCACACAGACCACAGCAAGGGTTAATGTGGAAATCCAAGCTTCAAAAGGAAAACCCTATCAATTTCAGGATGGACAGTGAGCAGGAATGTGTGGGTGGGAGGGAGGCAAGATGGACAAGTAACTCTGCTAGTCTGAAAACAGAACCCTTCACTTAATCAGACAATCATTTATGGAATGCCATTCTACAGTAACTGGTTTTCAATGAAAAAACACCATTAACCCAAGTTCTGTTTCTCACAATCCCCCCTATTCCTTTTGCTTTTCCCCCAACAATACCGCATCAAAAGTTCCCTTATCACTGAGAAAATTCACAAGGTCTTCTGAACTTAAGCTAGCTATCCTTTAGCTTTATGGAGACCTGCATTGCCCAGTTTATATTCTCACCTCCGACGCTTAAGCTACACAGCAAAAATACTTAACGGTAAAGAAAGAGTAAAATAGGTCTACGCATTTCAGAAATGGAGCTATTTAGCTTTATATCCATCTTCAAAAGCACAGTACATTGCAAAAGTAGCTACAGAAGTAAAAAGGGCCAGGTAAGAGTTAATTATGCAATGCCTTAACTAGCTCAGTCACCAGACACTGTTGAGGTCATTTGCTTTCAAAAAATCTGAGAGGCTAGAACATGTAATCCAAGCATTTGAAGCTTCCAGCAGTGCAGAAATGCCGAAAACCACGCGAGATGATTAAAAAAAAGAGGGAGGGTACAGATGTACATTAGTCTTTAAGAGAGGCTGCTTTAGTAAGAACAGAAGCCCTAGATCAATAAAGGTCAGAGCTCATTAAAAGGTTTCGTCTGCTCTAGCAAAAGTCATCTGTGCTCCAGCATGCATCAAGGGCTCCTGTTCTGCTGTATCAAAAGCAGAGCAGTCCAGGGAAACGCACAGAGCAGGCTTTGTGCCTGGCCTATACATACACACAAAAACCCTTCTTTCCACCTCATGCCACAGCCGTTCATCCAGACTCCATCCTTCTGAGGGAGGACATACGAGAAAGGGGCCCTTACACGTCTTTATTAATAAACCACTTCAAACAGAACAGGGCAGTTCTAAAGAGCTCATCAACCCTTAAATGAATGCATTGTAAGTGCACAGAGGCAGCTTCAGAACTGACCTACCTTAAATGGCCACATTATTACAAATGTATACTGTGCCCGCTCTTCAGACAAAGTTACAACGTTGGCAACCGAAGTGACAAGTATTCAGACCTTCACAGTCACCACCCTTCTTTAAAATGAAACATTAACCAGTAAAAAAAAAAAAAAAACAACTATCCTCCAAATCTGAAAGTTTTGATCTTCACTATAGATTTGACATAAGGACTAAAAAGCATAGACGAAGGCGGGGGGGGGGGGAAATGTTCCCTGTAACCAACAACAATAAGCAACGCATTACAGGAAAAATGCTATTGCTATAGCAGCACTGCATGTCTGTCACCACCTCACCATGGCAACCACACCCTTAGGCTCCAGGTGCAGTTTCCCCACCCTGTGCTCACAGTGCCAGACTGTGCAATACCAATAGTTCACACAAACTAGTTTTTCATTCAGGAAATCCCTGAACGCCACTTTGCAACAAGGCTTGAAATATCTACTTAAGCTAGTCCTCTTTCAAAGCTAACATAGCTATGAAGGGATTTATACTTTACAAAGTGCAGTTTTTAAGGAGTTGCTAAAAATATCAAGCCTAGTTCTGTTTTATAAATCCTGCCAGTTTCATTGAACATTTCAATAGGATATTAGGGAACTAGCAAAGGACAAGATTTCTTAAATGTAATTGCAAGATGCATTCTTTAAAGGACAGAACTATCAACTCAGAAAGTAGCATCTCGCACACAAAGCCCACAGAAGTTTGACAAAGATTATAAATTAATGCCATTTTGGAAATGATGCTGCACTTTGGTTTCAGAAGCTTCAAAAATACTCCTTTAATGCCAACAGGGGAGATCAGAGCTGTGCTGAAATTTAAAAACTCAAGCAGTCCTAGCCAATCACAAGTGGAATTTCAGCAGCACTCTCCACAGGTTAAACAGGGATACTAAGCCAAGAGGAAACAGTGCAATGACCATGACGCATTATAAAGGAAGGCAGCAAGAACAAAGAGTCTTTCAAAGATCTGCAACTCCCTTCCGAAGCAGATAAGACACCAGAGACAAGCTGCTGCACTGACTGTAATAGGCTATCCCTACAAATCATTTGCAAAAGAATATCCACAAAAGAAGTCCTAACTAGTCCCAAAACATCCACCTCAGGTATTTGCATTGAATAGGTTATGTACTAGCACAAATCAGCAAGCAGCGGATCTCTGTAAAAAAAAAAGTGTAATTAAGATCCTTTGCAGAGAGACCATCCTTATGGAACAGAACTACAACAAAAAATGTGGGAGGAGTAAAACTGTTGCGAGAATGAACATGTTTCTGAACAGTCTGTAGATCAGAACAGGCCACAGACCCGTCCTGGGAGAGAATAGGCAACTTTTCAGGAACACTCCCCCTCATTCCAGCACCCAACCTTCAAGTCACTTTTGAGGTTTTTTTTTTTTAAATGGCCTCAGGCATGATCAAAAACTGAACATAATGTAATGTTTCAGATAAAAATTTCACTGCTTCTAGCAATTTGTTAGCATCTAGCATATGTGCTAAGAGATGCTGTTCTTTAAATGAGTCTAACAAACTAGACTAAAAGAAAAATTTAAGCATGGCTAAGAGGGAGGGAGGGAGTGGGTTTACAGGCCAAACTGAGCACTCACTTGCAACACTACTCCATGCTCCTACATTCTATTACAAAATGAATCCGAAAGGGAGAACTTGGGCAAACAATTACGTGAACAGACCAGAGGACAGGAACCAAACAGCAGCTTCAGTGCAGTACTCCGGAAGATAATACCACATCCGACATGCACTAACTTGTCTGCTACATCCTGTGGCAAAGGCCCTTCGAAAGATTCAAAGGAATCTGGGAGTCAGGGAGAAAGGAATGCACCCACTGCATTCCCGGCAACCCGCCCAGCCAGTTAATTATGGTTTCCATGACAACAGTCATGTCCTTGCGTCTCCAGATGAGAACATTACAAAAAAAAACTTCAGCCCCTCCTTTCTATCCTTACCCTCTCTACACAACGTAGATGAAGGTACTTATATGGGCAAAAGTTTGAACTGTTAAATATTACACAGGAAGGCCCACAAAAAACACAACAATGGCAAGACATTTAACTCGCATGGTTTTTACTCATTCCTCACAATCACAAAACCACAACCGCTAAGCGTCCACATGCCTCACTTTAAACACTCCCCCCAGTAACTACTGGAGTGCTCAAATGTTATGGTTTTAAAATAAATATGGCTGAATTCCCAGCAGGAAACACTAGCCTGCAAATATGGATTCATCAACTGTGAACATTCCACGGCTATGGATATAGGCGACTTCAGTTTAAACTGGTATAGTGAACCATATGAAGTAATATTTAAACCACTGCTTAATGCCTTTAATCCTTATAAAACATGAACCCGTTAAGCTGCAAATGTTACGTTTTGCATGTAACTGAACTTTTGTACTCCAACACAACAGTTTATTCTATAAGTCTGTAAACCGTTATCGCTACAAACATAATTCACGGCAGGAAAAACTATTTAGACAACAGAAATGCTAGGACTGTTTGGAGGCTGCAGCCCTCAAGAACATTTTCTGCTTTTTGAAGACCTAAAAATATTTTCTGAAATCACAACATTTTAATTCTGGTGACATGAATATCCAAGACCCAAGACAGACAAGAATAATATTTCGAAGTATGACAAAGTTCAGGTGGTACCCCAACATTGAGAAATTTGGATTAAGTTCAATGGCTCAGAACAGTAACTGTTTATGTGCAGTTCCAAGTTCCAGTTTATGATGGAGGACTAAAAGATATGACTCAGTGCAACAAGGATGAGTTTCCAAGACTCTTATCTCAAGAGCAATTCAAGGCTGTTTGATTTACTAACCTCACTGAAAGCAGCCTTAGTATAACCTCCAGATAAAGTATCAATGCATCAGGTTAACTTAAAAAATCAGCTTCCACAGGTCAATAAAAATGCTTTGAGGCAATTCAGCCTGGAACTACTGCCCCTCAGAAAAAACGGGCAGGACTTCCAACATTTTCAAGTACTACTTCATTCAGAAGAGCATGTCCTGTAATATGGTACAAGCTAGCAAGTTTCTTTGCCAAGTATTTAAGATCCACACAATTGTGAATTAACACAATTGGTTTTTACCCCTGGCTTGCAGCTACAACCCTACGATCTTGTACATGGAAGGATGAGGAATTGCAGGCCAAATCCTTTGACCCACCCACCTTTAAACCCCTGTATTTAGCATGTCACAGGCAAAATGCACATACTGGAGGTTCAGCACTGACAGGGTGAACAGAATGTTATTCGCCAAGAGCACCACATGGCTGTATGCACCCAGGAAGATACAGAGGTTGCCGTGTCGCAAGGTGCCAACTGTCTCACCCAGCCAACTATGCATTGCTGTTCGAGGAAATGCTCAGTCAGCTGGCTCGAGACATGACCCAGGCTCAGTCGTAGCTCTCATCCTATGCTTAGGCAAGTGCCTTTACTGGTTGAGCTATTTTAAATATTTTTCAACCAACAAGTAACATCTGCAAGTCTTGCATGAAGACCATTTAAAAGCACATATATATCAAACCTAATTCTTTAGAAAAAAGGGCACTGACTTCACAGAATTAAATTGGCTTAAAAATGGGGGAAATAATCCCTTTTGATGTAGCCTTTACAATACATTTCCTTTTTAAATACTACCTTTTCCTAAGAAAATCCTCAACCCACATTTGAATAGAGGGTCAGGAAGAAGAGATGGCAGGAAACCTTAAAGCATTCTGAAACAACAAACAAGTGTAGGGAAAAAAGCAGAAAAAGGGATGCCTACCTTTGTACCAACTGTAATATCGTGGACACTGCTGTGAAGAAAAGAAGACAGTACTGTTAGATAGCAGCAAGGGTGAAGGCTTAAAATTAATACAAGTTAGGGGCTACAGTGATGTGATAAGGTTTTAGCAGAAACAAGGGAAGACTGAAACTACCTGAGTTTTAGTGCTGCACAGAGAGCAAAGAAAGGAAGACCAAGAGGTTGGAGAGCTTAAAAAGAGCACTAGATGTTTTGTGGGTGTTTGGAAACCAGGTAAGTGGTCTTCAAATAAAGTTATCAACCCCCAAAAATTGGTATTTTACGTTAAATATGCTCCATAACATGGCTTGCATCTTGTCTGAAGAACCGCGCTGCATTTGCACAATTCAAGTAGCACATGGGAATACTTAAGAGGGTTCTGAACAGCACATTTGAGAGCTCAACTACAAACAGGTCCCAAATTTCCACCACCACACAATATTGCATAACTTAAAAGGCTCTTGGACACATGTAAAATACTTGTACAAATGAGATATTTGATTCCTTTTCACAACTGAGAAACACCTCTAGGCAGAACCTTGAAGTTCCTCATTTCAGTGGACCACATTTTACATGTTCATCAAGTTGCTAGGGTTACAAAATTCCACCAACTAGACATTTCTAAATGGTTTTGCCTTCTAAACCTAAACAATGACTGATTTACACCTTTAATTCCTCCTGCAAGAAAGGAGATTCCATACATTTTAAAAAACACCTTGAACAAAACTTGGGAAAACTTGACACTGGAAACTGAAATTATGAACTTCTCTAGAGACCACATATAGAAAATGCCCAGTAATATCGTATGAAAACTTTAAGTATTCCGCTGATTCTAGTGTTTAATCTTATTATAACATTAAACTGGAACACATTACAAAACAGATCTGATATTTTTTTCCAGGGAGGGTAATCTAAACATTCCCTTAACTTTCCCACAGTCCACCCTGTCAGTAGAATATGAAAAATTAGTAACCAGGGCAGCCTGACACTCATCCTGGAGCAACCCCCATTCTCAACATCCTGTTTCTCAGGAGGGCCCCTGACAGGAAATTTACTGCCACTATCCCCTCCTCCACAGTCCAACAGGGATTTTACAAGAACAGCTCAATCAGACCCTCCCCAATCGGATTAGTGCAGCCACCAAAAGAATCTTTCTAACGTCCTCTACGGCCATCTTAAAAGTATGATTCACCATAAGGGGTCTTAAGACACTTTAGCATTAGGTATGTCCCCTGAAACTGAGGCAACTCTTAAGGGCGAAGGAGGAAAGCTGAAATTAAAGCACTTTGTCATATCTCAATTATCTTTAGCCTGTCATTTTTAGATCTGGCACTAATTATACGACGTTTCAAAACTGAACTACAAGAGCAATAAAATCCGAACTCCTCACACTAACGTTTAAGCAATCCTAAGATTTGCTCTTACTTTCTCTTCCTCCCTTAACCCAGTAAACCATCAGTCTTTGGAAGCACAGCAGCCTGAGCATATGGTTAAAAGGCACAGACCCACACTACCAAGAAAATGGTAGGAATTAAAATTCATTACATGTGTAGGATTTGCTTTCAGGAAAAACTGACCCTTTCTGGTATTTTAAGCAAAACACTGCAACAGTTTTCAGAACCATACGTAATAGAAAAACAACTTATCAGTTAATATTGGTGTCACGGAGGAAAGGAGATGTGCAAAGCAAAGTCTTTCAGAGTCAAGGCGCCTGCCTGTGTAACATGTAATTTGAGTCTACCAGTGTCCAGGCTCTCGCATAAGCACTAGTCGGCTTTCCATAGTATCAGGAAAATATGATGCAACAGGAAGTTATTTTTATACAGCCCACTGTGTACTGTAGTTCAGGCATCTCAAGCGTTTCACAAAAGAAACCAAGACAAAGAGGTTCACTTTCAATTCAAGCAACAAGTGTTCCATATCTAACTGCACAAATTACAACTATATCCATGCGACATGAGGATTGTGAAACATCAATATACTTCTCTTAATACATAGAAATCTAAACATGCAATACCTACTGCAGACAGGAATATAATAAGGTTTTGACTACCAAGAACAAAGTTTAAGTTGTTAACCACAAATGTAACATTTCAGATCAGCTTACATCACAATTGTGCAACAAGGGGTGTTCACCAATATTTATCGATGTTACCAGAAGTTCAAACCAATTTTCTGGAACAACTGGTAACATTCACATAGAACTGAGTCTCTCACTGTTAAAATTTAGCAATACAGTGTGGGAATGTTACTGCAAATCTCAATTTGAGAAGCCTGAGCTGAGAGGGATGATTATCCCCTTATTCAGGAACAAAAGGTCTGCTTAGTGGTATTGTCTTCACAAATATTTTGTCTAAAGTTAAGGAATTCTGAGCTTATCAAAAGTTCCCACCCAAAGAGACTAAACCCATCTTTCACCCAGGCAGTTGTGTACGTGAGCAACCCAAGGGTCAATGTACACAGGGCCATAAACACAAGTAATCAGTACCAGGAAGAAACTAGAGCTTTCCATCGTCCTCATAAAGAAACAGACCCCAAGAAAAGTCTACCCAGAAAGAGTAAAATGGGAAAAACTTACTCTTTTTCAGTGGCGTAACTGGATCCCAAAGGATACAAATCAGTCTCTAGACGGCTGCAGAAAGAAAAACATGCATTACTTCAGTATTGTTTGACAGCCAAGGGTAAGTTAGTTGCTTTTCTTGAAAGCAATAAGATGGACATCTACTGCAATGTCTATTGTAAAGTCCTTTCCTACTAGCATGACATTTAAAGTCCAGTGCAGCACTTTTTCAAGTGGACTGTTACATATTAGCAATAACTCAGAACTGCTTAATACAACCAACAGCAATAAAACTATCTGGGTCGTGTCTTTAATGATCTACACATTAACTTAACAGTATTGGGTGATAAGTGTTAATTTTTGGCCAAATTAGTATGCCTAAACTCACTCACTTAAAAAAAGACATGAAGTAGCTCGAACTTGGGCGAACTGAAACACTGCTGGAAAACAAAAACGTATAACGAACCAATCTGCATTCCTGACTTTTACGGAACGGAAAAGGGGTCATCAAGCATTATGCGGGGTAAAATATCCACGTTTCTTGCAGAAGCGCTAAAGCAACATAACTAGATCTGGCAGCATGGACGGAATAGAGAAGTTTAAAAGAACGAGGAAATGGAAAAAACAACCACTAATGCTAACCTTGCCTGTAACTGGGAGTAGACTATTTAAATTACTATCTGCCCAGCGAGGCAAGAGGGGAGAAGGGAGCCAGAAAACCTAAGATTTTAAGATTTTATTAATGCGTCTCGGCAAAGACGACGATACGAAACCACATCGCTCGCATCACGTCAGAACATGAATGCCATCGGATTACATTGGGGAGGGGGGGGGAGATCCCAAAGAGATTAAGGAAGAAAATGAAGAGGCGTGGGTCGGTCACGCTTCCCCCTGATTGGAGAAGGAGCTTTTAAACCCGCACATCTTGTGTTTTTTTTGTACCCAGAGCCTCACACCGCCACGGCTGGAGACGACGCACACCGGCGCCCAGGTACCCAGGTCTTCCCACCTGGACACGACCAGCCCCCCCCATCCATACCTCGGAGATCGACTTCCCAGATAAAACAGCTTTTTTTCAAATGTAAATCTGAAGCGGACGGGGAGTTTAGGGCCGGGCTAAATCCCCCCTCCCTCCCTCCCCGGCGGGGCCCGCCACTGTCTTTCTACAAAGTTACCAAAAACAGGAGTTGGGACCCTACACCCTACCCTACCCCCCC